ATGTGGCCTAACCAGTGACCTGTACAATGAAACTATAACCTTTTTAGACTTGTATTCAATATTTCTATAGATACAACCTAAATTCATATTTGCTCTACTACTAGCTATAGCACACTGCTTGATGGCTTTAGAGACTGATCAACTATTACACCAAGATCCCTTCCTTCATAACACTATTAAGGTTATTCCCATCTAAATTATAGTTATAATTCAAGTTATGATAACCCACATGCATTATCTTGCGTTTATTATAATTAAAACCCATCTGCCATTTATTTGCCACACTCACTAAATGATCGAAATGCTTTTGTAAATCAGCAGCATCCTCTTCACAGCTAGCAACACCCAAGACCTTAATATAATGTACAATAATATAATGTACAAATATAAAGATTTCATCCTAAGTCTATTGCAAATCCTTTTCTTCTTGGTGTTTCCAAAGATCTTTGGCATTAAATTTATATGTGTAGGTGTTTACTCACTACAAATAACCTGTATTAACATATGTATATGAAGAACAGATAAATTAATATTACCAATTATTTATTACATATTGATCAGAGGATATACTGTATTTTTCAAGAGTTGCTTATGTATGGTATAATTCCCCTGAAGTGGGTGTAACTCAGTGACATGTGGCACTTCTAAGAAGAGACTGGGCTTTATGCTTCTTTTTCACTAGAATAAAAAAATTGTGGTGATAAGAAAAAAAATATAATTAAAGCTAACAGTAAGAATTTTGCTGCTTAGTATTTGTGTATATCATACATTTTAATTGTTTTTGATGTTTTGGTTTTAATGTTCATGTATGATATTGTTTAAATTATTCTTCAAACTCAAAATTTTCTTTTTTTCTGGTTAAAAAATGAAGTCTACCTTAAGTAACGTTAAATATTTCTCAAAATATTTTTCTAACAATTAAAACACTTAAGATAGATATAGCTAAGAAGATTGTCAAGGGATTAATTTCAGCTGGTATGCAGCAGTACCAGCAAATTATTTCAAAAGCTGTATTCTTCGAATATAATGGTTTTTATACCAGATTATAAAGATTAAATATGTTACTATAGAACATTTATTTTCAATACTTATTATGCTGTTAAATTATAAAACATCTTGGAAAAATTACATGGGGGGAGGGTGTAGTGTTTGTATTTATATGTTCATCCTGCAAGCATAATGGGTACTACCATAAAGTTTTTGGTAAATCCAACCTGTGGCATCCAATCCCTAATTACTGATTTGTTTATGTTAATGAACTTTTATTAATGCTTTGGTTTGGTTTAAATTTCGTGCAAAGCTACCCAAGGGATATCTGGGCTAGCCATCCCTAATTTAGCAGTGATAGACTAGAGGGAAGGCAGCTGTTGACACCAACCACTGTCAACTCTTGGGCTACTCTTTTACCAATGAATAGTGCTATTGACCGTCACATTATAATGCCCCCATATGTATTGGAACATGCTTTAAAGTAAGTTTAATGTATTAGCAATTGATGTGTTCGAAGGAAAACGAAGTTTGATTATAAACAAAATTACGACACTTATGATATACAATAAACAATGTTGTATATCATAAGTGTCGTAATCTTATTTATAATCAAGTTTAATGTAGTCCTTCATTCAAAATATTTTAAGCAACTAGTTTTATGGATGAATATTATCTTTGCAAACAGGATAACACTTCGATCATACTAGCTTAGCTGTAAATTTGGTGCTTAAATTAATGTTATCAGTTTTGAAATGTAAACTTCTTTTATCTAGATTGAAACAGTGTCATCTAACACAATGTGCAATAATTTGCCAAGTGAATCAAAGGACTCCTTAACACCTGGAAATACAAGTGATGATAAGGATGCATTGAGGGTCACAGATATTGAGCAGTAAGTCCAATTAGTTATTTTTTAATTCATTATGTGTTAATTTTTTTATAATTAAAATCATTTTACATTCTTTTTCTTAATAAAATTATCAGAAAGTAAAGAATTAAACTTCAACTATTATTTCGGTGTTCACCTCTTTCATTTTATGTCTGAATTACCATTGACTTAACTCTTTTAACGTGTAAAATCTCTTTTAATCTTAAAAAAATCATACACTATTAGGTAAGTGAGGAGTTTTTAAATATTACTTGAAGTGTCTTCTCAATAAACAATATATGCAGGGTGTTTGTTAAAAAAGTTTTGCACTTAAGTGTGTCACATCTCACAAACATTATGCCATAAGAAGGTGAAATTACACGTGTCACATGTACCCCCACAACTAGATATTGGTTGGTGTTAGGTCCAGTGAATGAGATGGTCATTCACAAGAAAAGTGGTGTGAAATAATTCTGTTCTGAAAGTGCTCCTGCAAGATGTGTTTCATCCAATTACTAATATTTAAAAGACTACACACTAACACCCCTGTGACAACAGTGGCATTTGCATCTGCATGATGCTCATAACCCTTTCACCATATAATTAGCTCTCACGGTCAGTCAGTCCCCAATCATTGTCATTTTTCCATTGAAAAACATAATAAATTAGCAGTATATTTCGCTGTATTATGCATTATGATATATAAGACACACTTACATTCTATATCTTGATGTTATGTCATCAATAACTTACCTAAATTATGGTAGAAACACAGAAAAAATATGACAATCAGCTAATATCTATATGAATGGGTGACTCCTGTTGTCTGCTGGCTTGGGCCCTAGCTGAGGGATTGTTTATACCTGTGTTTCCCATTCACGCTCCCGTATGTCAGCACACTCGGTATCTGGCAGTCAATTCAAGCTTGTGAAGGGTTGTTACTTTCCAATGTAGATGGAAAAATGTTTTGATAGGCATGGAGAAAAGTCAGTCTCCTCTGTTAATGACAATTAATCTTCTAACGACTATAGTATGAAAAGGTTAACATACTCGTGCTGTATCTCCTTCGTATGCCATAATGTTTGTGAGATATGATGTGCTAAACTGCAGAACTTTCTTTATGATCTCCATATAGAATCAAAGCTAAAATGTATACAAAACAAATAAAAAAAATTGAAGAAAGTTATATATATATATCAAGAGAGAGAGAGAGTCAAATATAGAAAAATAATCAAATTACTATTTAGAATCCAGTATAAAAAACAAAAGTATATGGAATCAAGTAAAAATAAAAACTTATAGATGAAATAAAAAAACAATATATATATAATAAAATAAAAAGAAACACATAAACACCACAATAAGAATTTAAAAGCTACATAAGCAAAAAATAGGGAACTCTTATCTTTGGGCTTTATGTGTTCTTCAGCAAAAAATGTATTGATTGGGAAGAGAGCATTTATTAATACTACTACATAGTAGGCCTAGTAGTTATAGTGTAGAGCTGTGTATTCTAAGGTTACACGATTTGCATCCTATTACTGCACAAATGAAATTAATGCTTTGCACTGTTGGTGAACTGTGAGAGTCATGGTCAGTTCTCATTCAGTTAGAGTAGTACCCCCTAGTTTGCAATACATACGGCCATTCAGGCAAAATTAAAAGCAGAAAATATAGTGATTTGAGCAATTTTTACTTCACTGAGGAAAAACTGTTAGCAGAAATTTCTTACTCATAACCTCATTTGGGCAAAAATTGTACAGCCCCCATCCGAAAAATCCCCCATATGCCTATTACTTTGCTGGAGGAATTTCATCTTTTTAGTTGGCTTTACCAATCAGGAATACATGGTCCATCTGTATTTGTTTATTTATCACCAATGAAAGTGAACATATTTCATGGATTAAATAAAAAGTAATTCATGAGGAAATGCAACTTTACATGAGGGAATGTAATCTTCCTGATAGCTGCACACACATATAGCTGAAACAAACAAATTGATACCCAATTTCATTTATAAACACAATTAGTTAAGCATTGTAGGTGAAAAGAATTCAAAAATAATAACTGTGCTATGTTATACTTAACCCTTTTGGCATGGAGTTGCCGTGTGGCAACCACATAATGCAGTTTGAATTTCCCACTAGAAATGTGAATCAAGTGCGCAGAATCAATAGACAAAGCCTAATCTGCACAGATGATGATCTCGGCTGCCAATTCATATCCAACATAGCAGATGTTGCTATTCAAAACATTGGTAATATTTGTAATTGAAAAGTGTTTATTTTTATGGGAAAATGGACCCAAAATGACATCAAATTGCTCCAGCAGTTTTATACTTGAAGAGACAATTGAACTTGTGCAATCTGACGATTATTCTGGCTCTGAACCTGAATTATCTGATGATGATTTTGAGCATGAAATGACTGAAAAAAGAATGTTCCTAAAGTGTTAAGTGATTTTAGTATATCCTGTGTGATATCTTAGTACTGTGGAGAACTGTGGGTGTCATTAAGGGAATGTAGTTGTTGCTGTAAGTTCATCCATTCTTGTTAATACAAACTTCCAATATTAAAATTATGATATGAAATAGTTCAACTTTTATAAGTTATTCTAAAGTAAAAGTAATATATTAAGTGTTCATTCCAGAATATTTTTTATCTTATCAAGAAAAAAAAAAGCTTAGGTTAAGTACCATTCTAGCTAAAGAAATTTATAATATCTATAATGTGCTAAAAGAGTATTTCAGAAATATTATTTATTTTTATTTGTGATTATTCACTTGTTTTCATGTGCATTGTCTTTAGAGTCTTTGGATTTCCCAAACATTATACAGACACAGGTAACATTCCCCTGGGGCGACGTCAGCAACTGCTGGCCAAGGCCTGGAGTGTTCCTATTATGAAGCACATCTTCATGCCCCTCAGAAACTTTTTTAAAACTTTTTCACTACCCTTTGTGCCACAGCTTTCTCCAGCTTCAACAACAGACATTCTTCCTGATTCCTCATCATCCCTTACCACATGTACAAACAATTGTGTAAGACCATAAATAGATGTCTTTTGTAAATGTTAAAAAATAACACAGGATGATATAGTGTTGAACTAGACATAATAATATTGTTTATAAAAAGTCTATGTTTGTAGGCAGTGAAGAATTAAGCATATGAATGATAATGAAGAGAAAATGTTTATACTTTGTGACCAAGAGAAAAAAAAAATAGTAAATTGGCATTCGATTTTTTTACACAATTATAATGAAAGTTAACAAAACACTGCTTCAAGAGTTATCCACTTAAGGGTTATACAAAAAGTATTTTTAGCTTTCGTGCAGAAAAATTCAGCAATAGGTTTTAATAAATCAGTGTGATTTATAGAAGCTGCTAGATACCCATTTTTTATGAACAAATTATATATATATCTGGGAGAAGTCAATGAAAATCATTTGTCACAACTGGCTTCTTTTTGTCATTTGGAAAGTAGCAACCTAAGTGTTAACATATAATAGTTGTTTAGGTCATATCAAAGTGTCAGATAAGATGGTTTCTGTTGTTACTAACATAGCTGATTTATTGTTTTTTAAATAATACAGTTTTCTTTAAAACCTTTTAGAATAATATTTATTATCTAAATTTAATGAAACTCATTGAAAGTTTAGTTACATAACTTCATAAACTGTTTTTGCAAGGCTTCTCATCTTTAGGGGTTTATCCCTTCTTGCCTTTATCTTAGGCATTATAATTTATGAGAAATTACCTTTATATAATGATGTATTCTGTGACATGTAATTTAGTTGATATCTAGCAGAATACACCTTGTAACTTCACAACATTTTAGGTTAAGGTTATTTTCATGTTTCTGAATTTTTTATACCACCATCCAGTTAGAGTTTGGAATTCATTTTTAACTTATAATTTAAACAGAAAAGTTGGTTAGAGCATATGGTATTTTACAAACATTACCTTCAGCCAATACATTGCCTAAATATGGAAGTTTGTAACAGAATAAGGCTTGCAGTGAATTGTTTACATAAGGAATATTACATTGTCTTTACTTCTAAGGTATTGTATAATACAGTAGGGAATTTATGGTACTTAGATCATTTTAGCAGCCTAGTATTTCGGGTTATATGTCACTGCTGTTTTATCCAACTCTGTAACTAATGATGTTCTGCATAAAAACAGAAATAATTACATCCAGCATAAAAATGGAATATATTTTCACCTGTTCTATTTGCTGATTTACAGAATTTTTCAAAGTGAAGAAAACTACATTTAATAGAAAAAAAATTATTTTATTGATGTTTACTGCAATAGATACTTTAATTAGTAAGGAAAGTGTACGTTCCAATACTGCTGTGTTTGATCACCAGACATAAATGGGTTGAATGTAACAAAACAAATACAATTACTTTCCTGAACAGAAAAAAAAAATGATACAAAAAACACAAAAAATCCTGGTATAATTTGCATAAAAAGGAAACTAATTGGACAAAACACTGGTTGTGTTACACAAAAAAAGAAAAGAAAATAGTGCCTAGTTGTGTGCATGAGCTTTGTTAATGACATGAAGAGCGTGTTTCTACAGCATGATAACTGATATTCTTAGGTGTGTGTTACTGTTTAGTTATCATAAAATGATAACTTTCTTTCACTTAAACAAGAGGCCAAACTGCAGCATTCCTCTAAAAGGAGTTATTGTACTGTGACTGCCTAATATTTTAAGGTATATTGTATTTAACATTCCATAACATGAACTGATCCAACACTACACTTTGTACTTTTTTAGCAGTTTGAATAATATTTTGATTACTCTGTGGACAGAAGTTTTTATTTACTTTACTGTCTCTGAGAAATGTAGAAAGACTAAAAGGCAAAAATGATTATTCAAGTGATAAAACTTGAAACTGTACTTGGCTCTAAAAATTTTTCTTTTCATCTACTAAGTTGAAACAAATGTTAACAGTACTTATTAAAATTATCTTATAAATTTCACATTTGAACGAAATTAATATTATAATACAATTTTAATCTGACAAAACCCTGCATGGCTTTTCTTGTAAAAAATAATGTATCTTACTGTGTTATAGTTTTTTACGTCCTAAGTATGAGAGGATTAGAAATTATATGTACTAGTGATTTTTGACTAGTGAAGGAAAATATTATTAACCATGGTGTTTAAAGGGTATATAGTTTTATATTTTTACCAAGAAAACAAAAATGAATTAAAATTGTAACACATTTTGCAACACTTTTTTTAAAAGTCTTATTTAATTTTTACTCATCAAATAGCTCTAACGTAATACAGCAAACCATCATATAAATCCATTCATTTTGCCATCTTACTTAAATACTTATGTTTGTGAAAAGATTTAAATATTGTATTCAGATTTTGCTTTAAAAGCTGTTTAAGTCTTTATTTTCCACTTTCTTTTTTAAATAACTGTTAGCATTTAATTATTTATTGTTTGATTGTAGTTGAAGTAATGTAGCATATGGGAGAGAGGGCTAGGCAAAAAATAATAAATGTGTATTGGCTGTTAGGTAGCTGAGCTACAGCTTTTATTATTTTAGTGAGTTTTTTTTCTGAGTTTGCTTATGCTTCATCAACAGTAGAATAAAAAAGTGCATTATTAAAAATTTATAGTTATGGTTTTTCTAACCCTAATGACTGTGTAACCAACCCATTATGTTGCATGTGAAATCTGAAATAAAATCTTTAATTTTGATTTGTTCCCAATAAAATCTAAATGGTATGAATTTTATATTTTATGTATACTTCCTAAATTAAATTTACCTAACACTTAAAAAGCTACTGAATGTAGTAAAAATGATATATTTATTTGTTAAAATAAAATTCAAACAGCTGTATAGCTTGGGAAAATGTAATATTCATACTTCTTTCTGTTTGTGCTTTAATATTAGAATTTGATTATTGTTGCAAATGATTATTCATTGCTGTTAATATGTCAGTATCTGATCTTTTATATTGTTACAATAGCTATAGTTTATAAATAATTATTCAGTTGTTGTGCATATTGTTAAAATAGATAGTTGTCCTTGTTGTTCACATGCTAGTGCTGGTTCTTGTTCAAGCAGTTAGCTATAATTTGATTTTGTTTTTCCCAATAATGTGTGGCTTCTTTATTTTTCAGTTTTTGGTATTACTATCAATTTCTACTTTTCATAGCTTACATTTTTAACCATTAAGGTATAAGATTTTAATTTCTTGTTCTTGGTTATTTATTGTTTTAGACTTTCAGATTACACAATCTATATTTTTAATAGAAGTGTAAATTTCTCCTGGTAATAAGTACGTCATATCTCTTTGAGTAACATTACATTGATGTGATGTTATATGGAAGTTTAAGTAAAGTTATCTAACAAGTTTTACATCACCCATTTGTACATTTTGATAGTGGTAACATGTCAGAAATAATTTAAGGTAGTTGAACAGAGAAGAGTTATATCATTCGTGAATGTAAAATCATATATATATGTAACTTCCTTTACCACAAAAAAAAAACAGTAAGATTATCATAATACAATTTTTTATATTGTTATGGCCATTGGCTTTGTGTTATAACCAATCTCATGTTGTTATCAAGTTGAATGTTTTCAAGAAAATGCTATTATTAGAATGTAAAAAAATATATAAAATTTGATAGTAAACTCAATGAAATCCTGGTGGTACATTCAGATGTTTGTGATTTTTTTTAAATGTAATATTTTACTTGTGTTGAAAAATGATCATGAAAATGTGAGAAATATGTAGATATATTTTAGTATAACTGAAATAATGTTTTTGTGATTCTTTTTAAACCTAAATTTTGTGACATCTTTGTTATTTTAGATTGCTAAAAAGGACAGTGGTTAAAGTCATTTTATTTTTTGTGAAACTCATATGTCATTTAATATTTTTGTGTTCCCTACAGGTAAACAAAAAAATCATACATAAGTCAATACCATTTGATGTTACTTTTTGGTAGCTGTTGTATAGTTTCTATGTTTGTGTTAACTGGTAGGTTTATGTGAAACATGGTTATGTTACTGCTTTAGTAAATGGTAATAAAAAATTATTGCAGTTGGCAACATA